GCACTCTACCCAGGGTGACAGCTTGAGGCTCTGTCTCAGAAAAAAAAAAAAAAAAGGAAGAAAAAAAGAAAAATTAAAAAAATTTTTTTTTCGGATTTTAATTTTTTATATTTAGAGATAAGGTATTGCTCAGTTGCCTGGGCTGGACAGTGTGGTAGCACAATTATAGCTCAGTTGACTTGGAGCTCCTAGCTCTTGGGCTCAAGTGACCCTCCTGCCTCAGCCTCCTGAGTAGCAGGGACTGCAGGTGCTCACCGCTATGCCTAGATAATGTTTTATTTTTATTTTTTAGAGATGGGGTCTTGCTATGTTGCCCAGATTGGTCTCAAACCTGTGGGCTCAAGTGATCCTCCCAAAGTGCTGGGACTTCAGGTGCCAGCAGGCCTGGCTGATGTCCTGTCTTCTGATTCCAGCCATCCGAGTGGGTATGGAGGGGTGCCTCACTGTGGTTTTGATTTGCATTTCCCTGGTAGCTGATGAGGCTGAGCAGCTTGTCCATTTGTATATCTTCTTTGGAGAAATGTCTGTTCAAATCCTGTTGTTTTGTTTTTTAGAGACAGAGTCTTATTTTGTCACCCTTGGTAGAGTGCTGTGACGTCACAGCTCACAGCAACCTCTAGCTCTTGGGCTTAGGCGATTCTCTTGCCTCAGCCTCCCGAGTAGCTGGGACTATAGGCGTCCGCCACAATGCCCAGCTATTTTTTTGTTGCAGTTTGGCCGGTGCTGGGTTTGAACCTGCCACCCTTGGTATGTGGTGCCCTACCCACTGAGCCACACGTGCCGCCCCCGTGTCTGGTTTTTAATTAGGTTTTTGTCTTTTTATTATTGAATAGTGAGAAATCTTTGTGTAATGTACACACAAGCCTCTCATCAGACATATGATTTGCAGGTGTTTTCTCCCCTTCTGTGGATTGCCCTTTCCTTTTCTCTGTGGTGTTCTGAGGAGGAGGAAAGCTGTGGTTTTGAGTAGGGCCAACCTGTCAGGGTTTTCTTTTGTCACATGTGTTTTTGGTATCGTGCCTCAGAGGGTTTGTCTCAGGCTAAGTCATAAAGATTTACTCCTATGTTTTCTTCTAAGGGTTTTGTAGTTTTAGCTCTTACGTGGAGCCAGAAGTTTAGGCAGAGGACTGAGGTCCTCGGTACAAGCTGGGCAGTGACAGAGCTGGCAGCAGTGGCAGCCTCCTGGGGTCTCTGTGACCAGGGACAGAGGGCCAGCGAGGAGAAAGCCCACCACGGGGGAGTGCGCACCTACCCTGATGGTAGGCTGTCGTCCGGGAGGGCTCATAGGGCATTCTTTCCTTCATTCACTTGTTTATGGCAAACACTGTACAGATGCCTGCTGGGCTGGGTGGCCAAGATTACAAAAGAGAAGCAGGAGCTGGTGGTGAGGAGCTCTGTCCAGCAGGGGAGACGCTGTGATGACCAGTGGTTTCCACGTGGGGAGCTGGGTTCCTGAAACAGACTCTCAGGGATTGTGTCCTGGCTGGGGGAGGAGGTGGGGTTGGGGTTCAGCTAGTAGAGTCCTGAGTGGGGGGTGGTATCTCAGGCAGTGGGGAAATTGCTGTGTTAAATCTACCCTTCATTTTCTTCTTGTTACTAAAATTGAACATGGGCTTCTAGTAGAAGTCGGATACTCCTAGGGCCACCTGTGGCAGGTGGCAGTTCCCCACTCACTGGCCGGGCCCCTCCCCACTGCACTCTCTTTAGTGGTCTTGACCCCACCCCCACCTCCCAGCCAGTGCTGCTTCTGCCCTGGGGTGGTCTTTCTGTTCTGGGCACTGCTTGTTGCCCTGAGAAATTAGGGACCCCCTTCCCCTAGCCTTGACGGTTCTTTAATGTGGGCTGTCCTCCGGCAGTCTGGTGCTTAAATCCTGAACACCCCCATCTTGGTCTTGGCATTCGAGAGGGAGCTAAAGCCGAGGGAGAGGAGAGACCCCTGGGGGTAGGGGGTGAATGCAGAGAGGCTCAGGAGGGGCTGAGGCAGACTCAGGGGCTCAGGGGGTTGGCTGCGCAGAGGCCCTGGGGTCGGGGTGGAGGCTTCTAAGATTCTGGGAGTGCTCAGAGGCCAGGGAACAAGGCAAGGCAGGGTCCCCTGGCTGTGGTCATGACAGGGCGTGGGGAGGTGGCTTTGCAAGAGCTGTTTCTGTAGAGAAACACTGAATTGCAGTGGGCTGAAGGTTGCAAGAGCTGTTTCTGTAGAGAATCACTGAATTGCAGTGGGCTGAAGGTTGAGGAGGAGATGAGCCCATGGTGGAAATTTGGATTACGCAGAAGTTAGTAGTCAGAGGAAATGCAGTGTCCATGAGGGCTTTGTTAGAGGTCTGTAGTCATTGCAAGAGAACGAGGTCAAAGGCATAGATGGGAGGGTCACCTTTGTTGGGGATATAGTAAAAGAAATTACTTTCTAATGGTAGAGCAGTCTTTTTCAGGATGTGGCAATTTCCTGTTGGTAGAGATATTTGAGCAGAAAGACAGCTGCATGTCAGGTGTATAACACAGGAGCGTTCACCTATGTGAGGGGTGGCAGATGCCTGGGAAACATGACAGCATTGTCCTCTCCTGCGCCTCCAACAGGCATCGCTAACTCATGTGGCACTCCCAGACCAGCACTCCAGACAGCCTGTAGTGATCCCCTCAGGACAGTTTATGTAATGTAGCCAGCTGCTGTCCCTGGACTGGGGCTCTGACTCTCCCTTTCCTTCTTTAAAATGATCCTCCTCTTCCCACTGCAGGGAAGGCCTATGAGATCTCCTACGTGAGGCTAAAGTTTCACACCAGTCGCCCCGAGAGCTTCGCCATCTACAAGCGCAGCCGCAGCGACAGCCCCTGGGAGCCCTACCAGTTCTACAGCGCGTCCTGCTGGAAGACCTACGGTCGGCCCGAGGGCCAGCACCTGCGCCCCGGCGAGGATGAGCGTGTGGCCTTCTGCACCTCCGAGTTCAGCGACATCTCACCGCTGAGTGGGGGCAACGTGGCCTTCTCCACCCTGGAGGGCCGGCCCAGTGCCTACAACTTCGAGGAGAGCCCTGGGCTGCAGGTCAGAGAGGGTAGGGCTCAGGGGGCAGGGCTGGGGCCATCAGGAAAGTCAGAAGGCCAGACATGGGGACCTGTGAGACTTCATGGTTTCAAACCCTGCAACACAGAAGCCTTTGTTGTGTCTGAATCTTTTGTGGATGCTGGACAGTGAACCAGATGGCAGAGGGGCTGCAGCTGGCCAGAGGTGTCCCTTCCCTTGCCTCCAGTGGCAGAGCCGCCCCAGGAGCCCTGTGACAACCACCAGCTCACCTGGTCCTTTCCTTATATGGGTGTAGAAACTAAGGCCTGGAGGGGGCAGGGGTTCTCCAGGGGTATATGTGGTGGTTGACGGGCCCACACCAGAACCTGAGTGTTCAGTCTCCTGACTGTTACTCTTTCTGGAACTCTCTGCTGTGGGGCCTGGCTTCCTCCCTCTGTGGCCTGTCCCCTGTGTCTTCAAGGGCTCTAACACAGATAAAATGGAAAAATGTGCCAAGAGCATAGGCCTGGGAGTCAGAAAGAATCCTGGGCTGATGCTATAAGGCAGTGTTGGCCACCAGCACTTTCTGTGACCACAAACGTGGACCCTAGTGCCACTGTTCAGTGTCGTGCCAAGAGTCACCGTGAGATGTGACTAGCACAGGAGGAACTTCACTTTAAATTTCATTTAATTTTAATAAATTTTAACTTAAATAAACATACGTGGCTGGTGCTGCCACCGTGGAGAATGTAGCTCTGGGGATGCGGGAATGCATATAGGGCCAGCACAGGCCTGGCAGACAGCGGGTGCCCATTCACTGTGATGTCCTCATGCCAGAGAGAGAAGCAGGCCTGTGGCCTTGGCCATCCATTCAGGGCTCTGCACTTCAGGCCATGTGGGTCCTGTCAGCACTGGCACCTGTGTGCCCACATTCCTTCGTGTCAGCAGCTGTTCACCTGCAGACAGGTGTGTCAGTCTGCCTGGAGCTGCCGGGTGTAGACAGCCCTCCAGGGTGTTTCTGCTGGTGCACACAGGCCTCCCCTCGAGGTTTTCAATGTACCTCCTGTGCCCACCTGGGCTGCCAAGAGGTTTGAGGTTAGAATCTTGTTTGCTTACAGGGTGACACTGAGGCCCAAAAGGAAGTTATGTCCTGCCCAGGCCATGAGCCCAAGAAGGCCTAGGATCTGTCCAAGACCATGCTCAGAGTCCGAGATCCAGTGTGCCCAGGAAAGCTGTCATACTCCCTCTTACAGTGCTCTGTAGCATAAGGGCACGGGTAAAATCAGCAAGGGGAGAGGCATACAGGGCAGGGCCAGGAGAGACCAGGCTGAGGCTTTACTCATCCCTCCTGGTGGAGCCCTGAAGACAGCACTGACTTCTCTCAGCTATGCTGTGTGACATTGTGCACAGATATTGCCAATAGGGAAACCCAGCTGGGCCTCAAAGTCCAGGGCTGTTATTGTAGGATGGGCATGTAGACATAGCTGACTGCCCACCCGTGTGGCTGTCCTGTCTCCAGCCCCACCTTTCTCCAACTGATGCTATGTGGCTGAAGGCCCCCACCAGAAATTACATGGTCGGCACAGACTCTCTGACATGGTCCAAGGGAAGATGCTCCTACCAGGCAGGACATGGCAGGGGTTTGGGGTCACTTCCCAGGAGCAAAGGGCCAGGTCTCCCTTTGGTCCAGGTGACTCCTCTGACCGAGCCACATCTCCAGGCATCCAGACCCTGTTTGTCCCATCAGAAATGTCCACGTGTCACCATCATGATTTTGTTTAAAGTTAGTCTCTTCACGGGCTCCAAGCTTTGCAGATGAGAAAACCTCAGCCAAGGTCAGATGAAGACCAGGGCCAATCCTGTTCCAACCTGTGCCTGCACTGCTGTCACCCTGGGGGGAGGCTTGACCTCAAACCCTGGGAAGTTGGAGAGTTTACGACTTGTCGCCTTGTGTGTCTTGGACATTGTCACTGATGATGAAGAGATGGCCTTTTCATAAATGCCCCCATGTTTCTCTCTGGCAGATGCAAGGTCAGGAAAGGACAAAGAGAAGCAAACCCACCTTCCCTGCTTCCCCTCGTCCTCCCTCAGGACACTTGTGGGGGGCATAGGAGCTTCCACAGAGGATGTGGAGCACAGAGCCATGTGATTACTGGGTCTCAGGTCCCTCTCTCCCCAGGGAGGGGCTGAGGACATTGTGGAGAAGCCGACCCAGCTGTTGCAGAGTCAGGTCACCAGAGTTGAACAGTCACCTGAGTGCAGTCTGTCCATCATGTAACACCACTCACTGTCGCGATCAGGGTCTGTCCGGAACCAGCTGCAGTGCTCATGCCTGGTTTAAGATGGAGCCATTGCAAGTTGCAGAAGCCCATTTTCTGGTACAGCAGGCTTCAGTTGGCCCTAAGTAACCTGGAAGCATCGAGGCACGCCCCTACGATTTGGGCTAACCACAAAATTCCTTCCCTCTCTCAGCTGCCATCCTGGGTCTCAGAGGTTTGACCCTGCTCCTTTACTGCCTTCCTCTCTGGTCACAGGCCAGAAAGTGCCAGGAGGAGCCCAGAGGAGGGTTGCCAGTGGGCCAGAGGCCTTGGACAGGCTGTTGTCCTCTCTGGGCCCCACTGCTACGAGGATGGTGTGGGTGTGATCACGGGAGGGTGGGCTATCCTGGTGGTTAAAGCTTGGGCCTTGGGGTCAGATAGACCTGAATCCGGGGTCTGCTGTGTACCAGCTGTGCAGCTTGCAGCAGAACCCTTTCCCTCTCTGAGCTACGGCCTCTTCGTCTATAAACGGGGGTGAAAGCTGTGCTGCTCCTGGGCTCCTGTGAGGACCCGAGCCATAACCACACAGCAAGAGGCAGCAGGTGCTTCACTGTCCAGCTGTGACATCCAGTTGGTTTTTGTTCCCAGGTGGCAGATTTTCTGGAGAAAGAGAAGAATCATGGTGCCTTCAGCTATAGCCGTCTGGGTTCTCCAGCCCTGGCCTTAGCTCCTTGGTCCCCTGCTCTGGGGACCAGCAGTATCGGCCTGGCCTGGGCATCCATAGGCAATGCAGACTCTCCGGCCCGCTCTCCTCCTCTGAGTCAGAAGCTGTGTTTTGACCTGATTGCTGGGTGCACAGTGACCTCTGAGAAGCGCAGCTGTGGGTGCTCTGGGAGAATGGGGCTGCAAGCTCCTCACAAACTTGCTTAATCCTGAGGCTCCCACTTAAGTTTTCTGGTGCTGGACCCGTCTTCCCCACAGAAGCACCCCCAACCAGTGGCTCTGAGTTGCTGGGTTCTGTTGTGCTGAGGGGAGAACAGGCTGCTAGGAGCTCATTTTCTGTCCTAATGGGCCTGATTGTGAAGCCAGGGGCTCCTGGGCGGAATTGAGATGCTGATTAATGCTCAGCAGAGCTGCTCTGATTCTAACAGCAGGCGGATGAAAATGTCAGCCTTCACGTGGGTTTCCCCAGCTCTCCACCACGCTCTTCCAGGGAAGCTGCTCATTCAGTCACCAGCAAGTCTTTACCGAGCGCCTGCTGTGTGCCCACAGAGCCGGGGGGTGGGGGATAAGCCAGAACAAGGGCCCCAAGTCCCCTGTTTTCCTGGGACTTCCCTTCTGGTGGGAGAGATGTCCCCTGAGACAGGTGACCTGTTGCAGAGCTGGGTTCTCAGCACGTCAGAAGCTGAGAAGCCAAAGGCCTGCCCCAGCCAGGCCCAGCTGAGCAGGGAGAAGGTCACTGAGTGCGTCATCCCTTAGCTTCTGGAACGGGCGCAGGAGGCCTGCATGGGGGAGTCTTGGATGGGATGTAGCACCTTCCAACCTCTCTGCTGCACCCTGAGCATGTGCCAGACCATGCCCAGCACTGGCATTGGCCTTTGTCCTCCATACACCCTTGTAGGGGAGGCACTGTTGTCATCCCATTTCACAGATGGGGAAATGGAGGTGCCAAGACATTGAGCCCAGTTGCACAGTTTGCAGTGTCTGGGCTCCCAGGTTGGCTGGGCCCAGAGCGCAGGCTCCTTATTTCTGTTGAGTTCTCAGAATGTGTTGGGCCTGGCCTGCCTTGTGCCCCAGGAACCCTGGGGTGGCCAGATGGCAGATGGGCACACACACACGGCAACCTGCTGATGGTGTCCCTTTCCCTTCTGCCCCAGGAGTGGGTCACCAGCACCGAGCTTCTCATTTCTCTAGACCGGCTCAACACATTTGGTGATGACATCTTCAAGGACCCCAAGGTGCTCCAGTCCTACTACTATGCTGTGTCTGACTTCTCAGTGGGTGGCAGGTAGGCAAAGGCAGGGTACTGGGGCCCAGGGTGAGGCCAGGGGGAGGTGGGACTCCAGTGGCCTGTCCTCAGCAGCAGGTGGCTGCTGGGGACTAGTGGAGGAGGAAGCCACTCCTGGTGCCACAGAGGGGACAGTGGTGACTGGCTCCACTCTACCTCCATCAGCGTGTCCACCATACCCAGCTGCTCCCCACTTGCTGGGTCTTTGCACCTCTCATCCCCTCAGCCTGGAGGTACCTTCACCTTTTCTTACACAGGAAATATCACCTCCCACCCACAGAGAGGTGCTCCTGGTCCTGCCGCAGGCTCTGAGCATCCAGTCAGTACTGAGATGATGTTTTGTCTGTTTCTCCAATATCTGTCCCCTGCCCAGGAGGCAGAAGCGCATCTCTTGCCTTGACATTCCAGGGCCTGTGTGCACACAGGCACTGGCTGTGCAGGAGGGCTGTGGAAGGAGGGGAGGCACAGATGTCCACAGCATACATGTCTCAGGTCTGTCCTTTTAAAGGAGGAGGGGAGACAGATGCGTTCCTGTCTCAGTCACCTGGGGGCGGTGGACAGGAATCCGATGGCTGAGGTGGCTCACTGGTAAACATGCCAGCACTTCCAGGATGATGAGGCTGGCGGCAGAGGAGAGGGTGTGCACCAGTGAGTGGGAAGCAGGGCTCGGGGGTAGAGACATGGCTGGAAGAGTGTTGGGACCTTGGCGAGTTCATCCTCATCCCGCAGTCTCTGGGAAGCTGCAGAAGAATGTGGCCGGGGTAGTAACAGGGTCAAATTTTTAAAACACCCAAACCCCCGCGCCCCCAGCTGAGTGGGGAAGGATAGGAGAGGGGAGAGAGAAAGCCCACCAGGGCTCCAGGTCGTGGGGGGTGCACCGAAGCAGCTTTCCGTGTGAACCACAGGCCAGGGGATGCGATCCGGGAGTGACATTGGAGACAGAGAAGCGGGGAGGGCAACTGTCTGCACCCAAGGGTGTCTGCACACTCCAGGGAAGGCTGGGGTTTGGGAGTGTAGGGCCACTGTGGGGCCACGACGTCCTCTCTGCTCCTCCCTGGAATATCTCGGGTCAGGTCAAAACTCCTGAGAGAGGGCTCTGGAGGGGTGGCATACAGTGCTGTGAGCTCCAGCGCCTCCCATCAGGGGTCTTTAGGCCAGAGAACATCTGGGCCCCAGCTGTGAATTCAGACCACCCTGCGATCACCAGCTGGCTGGGAAAAGCTGTTCACGGCAGGACACAGGTGGCCCCAGCAGCCTGGGCCTCCCAGTCGCCAGCAGGATCTCACTGTCCTTCCTGGGGTCAGAGAGCTTCATGGAGAGGAGTGTTTGCAGTATCCCCTCTGGGACAGGGGCGGTCCCTTGTCATATCTCTGGTGATCACTGTCTCCAGGAGTGCCTCACCCTGCCAGGAGTGCCGGGTGCCGCCTGCCTTCCCTGGGCCCTATAGGGAAGCACTGCCACGCACCTTCCCATACACTGTGTCCCAGACAAGAGAGAACACTGGGGCCCTGCAGTGGTCAGTGATTCATCGATGCTTGCTGAAGGTAGAGCATGGAACGTGGCTTGCGGGAACCACCAAGTGGCCACAGAGAAGTGTCCAGGAGCGTGGGGTCAGTGAGGAGTGGAAGAGGAGGGCTGCATCTCTGAGCCCCCACTCACCACTAGTTGCACCCGAGGCCTGAGCCTGTTTTGTCACCTGTGAAACAGGGTTAAGAACGGCCCTCACCCCAGTGGTGAAAAGACCTTGCCTTGGTCTGGGGCTGGCCCAGAGCCAGGCCAGAAGCAGAAGGCTATGGTCATCCTCTGAGTGGTTCAGTCTGGCCCCTTAGGACATGGATGTTGTGCACGGGATCAGGCACCGTCGAGCATACCGTGGGGCGCCCAGAGCATCTCCTGATTCCATCTGTCTCTAGATCCTGTGGGTGGCCTGGGGACACGGGGTCAGGGCTGCGCTCAGAAACACCCTCACTGGGGATTTGTCCCCTTGATGGGCAACCTCTTGCCTTTGGAGACACAAAGGAGAAGCCTAAGAGGCAGCCTCCCTGGCCCCCCGTGCCCACTGCCCCATGACCCCTGGGCCACCCCCTACCCAGGACACAAAGTGACTTCTTCCTGGGTCCTTCTCAGACCTAGGTGGGCCCCCTCCCAGGCAGCTTCTGTGGCAGCCACTTACTTTCCTCTGCCTCAGTTCTTCCACCTGTTAAGTGCAGGTGGTCACAGGCTGTGAAGATGCGATGGTGACAGCCTAGCTTAGGTGGTCAGTAGAAACCCGTGACTGAGGGTGGACCAGGGGCTGCCTGCTGATTAACCCCTCATCTGCCCTGCTGGCGCCTCCCCTCCAGGTCCTCCTCCTCCGTGTCTTTTCCCAGGTGCAAGTGCAATGGGCACGCCAGCGAGTGTGGCCCCGATGGGGCGGGCCGGCTGGCCTGCCGGTGCCAGCACCATACCACCGGCCTGGACTGTGAGCGCTGCCTGCCCTTCTTCCAGGACCGCCCATGGGCCCGGGGCACTGCTGAGGCCGCCCATGAGTGTCTGCGTGAGTGTCCTGGGACATCAAGGCCCGAGGCTGGTGGTGCAGACCGGGAAACAAACTCAACTGAAACTTTACAGTGGGGGCTGCTCCTGGGTGGGCCTGGCAGCAGTTTGGGGTCCTCATGCAGCTGTAAAGATGGGGGAGCTGGAGGCGACCTGGGGTGTATTGATGCTTCATTCATCCCCCCGCGGACCAAGTCTGCCACAGCCGAGGCGCCATGGCCAAAGGGCCCAGAAGGCCCTGACTTGCTCCTTTGTTTTAACTGCTCCCGCCCCAGCTGCTAATCAAAGCCAGGCTGCCCATGTGCACTGGGGGTGCCAACCTGCCACCCAGCCTCTCCCTCAGCCCCCCAGGCAACCTTTGATGTCCCAGCCCTCCTGTGATGTGGTTTTGATGGCCTAACCTCAGAGAAACCATGGAGAGAAGATGGTGCGCCCGCCTCAGCCCCCAAACCCCGCCCTGTCCCCACACATTCATCTGGCTTCCTTTAGGCCTGTCGCCAAGCCTGGGTCCTGGCTGGCGCTACTGCTGCCAGCGGGAACAACATCTTCACACACAGGCTCATCATGGACAGCTTGGCTGCCGGGCCCTGTGATCTTTTGGTGGCTGGGCCACTGGCGGTCAGAACTGGGGCAGGGAGGGGATAGCTTTATCCAGGGGACAGCGCACTGTCTGCAGAAGCTGCCCCAGGGCCTTAATGGGTTCCTGTTGCCCCTGTTAGGGAGTCTGCCAGGCCAAGGATGTCCTCCCCTGTGCTGGCTGCTGCAGCTTTCTCCATGGTGGGGATATATCTGTAGCCCAAGCTACACTTGCTTCTCCAGCCCCCCATGGTTTACCCCTGCTTGCCATGCCCCCCCTTCCCTGCCCCTGTGCCTGGCTGACTCCTTCCTGCTCAGCCTTCAGATTTAGCCCAGCCATGACTTCATCCAGGGCACTTGTCCCATCACCCAGCACCACTGCAGGGGCCCCACCTTTCAGCTGCTAGAGCCCCCTTGATTCCATCACAGCCCTGCTTGTGCATTTGGCCTCTATCAGACCATGGGTAGCAAGAGGGCAGCAAGTGGGTCCAACCACCCGTGATCCTCACCCTGGGTGTCCAGGGGAGCTGACATGCAGCTGGTCCTTCATACGCACTTTTAAAAATGACTTAATGAGCAAATGAAGGGTGACTGGTGTTTCCTGTATACCTGAGCGATCTCCATCTCTGGGAACTGTACTATTATTATAGCTTGGAGAACCCACAGAGATTTTTGGATTGAGTCAGACTGCTGCTCCAAGAGGTGGTCAGTCTCTGATCTGTAACCAGGTGACCATATATCCTGGTTTGCCTGGGATGGTCTTGTTTCTGCCTATTGTTTTGATGTATTTACTAACAGTACCCCCTTTGCTCTTAAGAGTGTCCTTTTGGGAAAATCAGTCAGTTGGTCTCCATGTCCTTGATCAAGCTAAGCCTGAACTTCACTCTGGACCATGCTCGTGCCCTTTCCTGTGCTGCCTGCTCCTTCAGCACAGGGAGGCTGACTGGGCAGCTCATGCACACCCTCCCACCTCCTGCCCACAGCCTGCAACTGCAGTGGCCGCTCTGAGGAATGCACATTTGACCGGGAGCTCTTCCGCAGCACGGGCCATGGTGGGCGCTGTCTCCACTGTCGTGACCACACGGCTGGGCCGCACTGTGAGCACTGCCAGGAGAACTTCTATCACTGGGACCTGCAGATGCCATGCCAGCCCTGCGATTGCCACGCAGCAGGTGAGCGGGCCCCGCTGCCCCAGCCCCCACCCTTGCCCTAGTCTGGCCTCTGCTGCTGCCCTGTGCCCTCCCTCCTCCAGGGTCCCTGCACCTCCAATGTGATGACACGGGAACCTGCACCTGCAAGCCCACTGTGACGGGCTGGAAGTGTGATCGCTGCCTACCTGGGTTCCACTCACTCAGCGAGGGAGGCTGCAGGTGAGGACAGCCAGGGGGACAGGTGTGGGGGGCCCAGTATGGGTACTCGGTGGTGTATTTGGACTGACTGATAGGGAGCATGAAGGACAGGATATTGGCTGTCCCCTCCCCTTCCTAGCATCAGCATTCCCACATTCTGTGTCCTGGTGAGAATTAGGGACACTCAGCCCCTGGGAAGGCAGAGGAGAGAGAGGGAGAGAATAAATTAACAAGGCTGGGTGCTGGGGCCTATGGAAGACCAGCTGGGCCCAGAGGGGAGGGCAGGCTTCTCACAGGAGGCAGGGAGTTCTGGTCTGAGCCCAGATGAGAGGGGAGGGGAGGGGGTTCCAGGTGGGGGAAGAGCATGGCAAAGGCCCAGAAACAAGTCCAAGGTGAAGCCAGGCAGGAGCAGTGCAGAGGAAGGCAGAGGGTCTGGTGGGGCCTCTGGGACCTCAGGAGGGTCAGGCAGAGGCTGGTAGAAGCTGCAGCATGAACATCTGGCAGCCTGTGGATGGCTAAGCCATGGAGAGGACAGGCAGGTTCTAGAGCCCCTCAAGGCAAAGCTGGCAGGACATGGCAACCGGGGTAAAGGGTTGGAGGGTGACCCCCTGGTTCCTGCTCCAGGCAGAGGCTGAATGTCGTCTGGATGTGTGGAATCCACAGCGCCTGGTAGGCCAGCCCAATGGAGAAATGGGCTGGGACTCCTGGGCCCTGGACCTCAGAAAGGCAGTTCAACACACTTGCCATCCCATGACTGAGAAAGTACATAATGACAAAAATAAATAAAACTATTATAAATACAGAAGCTAACTTGGCATTGGTTAATAACAACAGCCTTCTCATGTATTTGAAAGGCAGTGGAAACATGTTGTGGGGTGTGGGGAGTCTCAGAGCCCTTGCAAAACACTTGGTAGTTCTGAGTATCAAACTGATACCCATTAGGCTCGGCGCCTGTAGCTCAGTGGCTGGGGCTGGCCACATGCACCAGGGCTGGTGGGTTGGAACCCGGCCCGGGTCTGCTAAACAACAATGACAACTGCAACAGAAAAATAGCCGGGTGTTGTGGCAGGTGCCTGTAGTCCCAGCTACTTGGGAGGTTGAGGCAAGAGAATTGCTTAAGCCCAAGAGTTTGAGATTACTGTGAGCTGTGACGCCACAGCACTCTACCGAAGGCGACAAGGTCAGACTCTGTCTCAAAAACAGAAACAAACAAAAAAAGCCTGACCATTACAGGAGGACCTGGCAGCTTCCTGGGGTCTCCCTGGCCTCTGGGCCTTGCACATCCCATTCCTCTCCTCTGGAGCATCCACCCTATCCACCCTGCCTCACCCCAGCCGGTGTCCAGCAACCTGCTTATTCCTCAGTTCATAGCTGGGGCACCCCCTCAGGAAGTCCCCCTCCTGCTTGGCCTCTCACCTTCATCCCTCGGCTTCATCAGATGCCTCACCTTGGTGATGCCACAGCCTTTCCTATGTCCCCTCCCACAGCGTGGGTCACACTGCAGGGACCATGGGATTCATAAGGGCAGGAGCCACATCTTATCACACGGGTGGGTGGATGGAAGGAGGGATGGATGGAGAGATGCAAGGATGGGTGAGTGAGTGGGTCGATGGGAGGTGATGGGTAGAGGGGTAGAAGGATGGATGGATGACAAGCAAGTGGGTAAATGGTGGGAATGGTGGGAAGGATGCCTGGATGTCTGAGTGGGTGGGCAGCTGGGCCACTCTACCAGGGTGGGTGAGTCACTTCCTTGGCAAGGTGAGAGCAGTAAAGCGGGTAGGCTCTGGGGACAGCCTGCCTCCTGATCATCTGGGGAACAGGGAAGGGTAAGGAGTTTTCTCCCTGGGGTGGGCAGTTCCCGCTCTGAAGTTGGTTGTTGGACACTTTGTTTGGGAGACCCTGCACTTGCAATTCTGCTGGCAGCCTGGGCACCTGTGACCCCCGCAGCGGGCGCTGCCCCTGCAAAGAGAATGTGGAAGGCAGCATGTGTGACAGGTGGGTGAGCCGATCCAACACTGAGCCTTCTGGAAGTGACCCAGGGGTCCCTGGCGAGGCACCAAGGCTGAGGAGCAGAGGGAGAGTGGGGGCACAGGCCAACAACAGGCCATGCATCTGCCATCCAGGAAATTCCCCAGAGGCTTTATGGCAGCAGCACCCATGGTTCATAAGCTGGGAAGAGATGTCTTCTTTCCTAGCTAAGAATTCTGGAAAACACAGGAGACACCATCCAAGCCAGAGGCAGCAGGTGCGTGGGCCTCGTGCCTTAACACTCCTGTGTGAACATTGTGGACAGATGCGGGGTAGCAGCCTGGACCATGAGCTCTGCTGTAACCTTAGGATCATTCTCAGGGCCCTGATTCAATCAGTTCCTACCCGTTAAGCTGAAATTTGAGCCTGTTTGCCTTCCCTGCAGTCCTGTCATGGTATCCATGGGGCATCTGAATCTCAGTGACAAGGGGTCTTGCCCAAGGCTACACAGATTGTAAATGTCCTCATCCAAGGCTTCTTTGCTCCAGCAGTGGGCCTGGCAGACACACATGGGCGGGGCTTCTTGGGCACACGCTGTCTCTTCTTCCTGGCTTCATATCTGATCCCCAGGGCTGCTCAGAGAAAGAGCTGATTCTAGGGCAGGGCAGAGAAAAGGGAAGATGAGCCCAGAGAGTCTCGTAGTGCCAGAAAGCAAGGAAGTGCCAAGTGACAAAACCAGACATTAACAAACAAGCAGCCCAAACCAGGACGGGCTCCTGTGTTAAATGACTCAGCAGCCAACTCGAAAGAGCTCCCAGAGCTGGAGCAATCTGAGCAACAAAGTAAATAATGATACTTGCAGATTATGACCCAAAGAATAAAGTAAATATCCCCCAATCCATACTGATGTAAATAGATGACTGAATAAATAAATAGAAGGGGACGAAGGGACGAATCTTCCTTGGGGAAGGATTCCAAACAATGTAGACAGAGTGAAGAAATGAGAAAACCACGATTTGAGCATCGCGGTCACGATGCAGGGAAGAGTCCCGGAGACCTGCTGGTGTCAGTGGGACTTTAAGGAGAGAGGGGATAGTTGCACAGCCTCAAAACAGTGTTCTCAAAATACGTGTTCATTACTGTGTGGTTTTAATGTATGTCCATAAGTTCTCTGACACTTCTCCCTCCAGGAGGTGGAGCTTAAGTCCCCTTTTTTGGAGAGTGGGCTGGATTTAGTGACTCACTTCTATGGTGGCGAGCTTGGGCAGACCCCCTCTGCCCAGGTGATGAAGGTTAGCATTGCTCTGACGCCATGTGGATTTTATGTGCCCCCACATCGTGAGATCAGAAGGGCACTTCAATGAGAAAACAGACAAGCCCAAACTGAAAGCCTTGTTTTTTTGTTAATTATTTTTTATTAAATCATAACTTTGTACATTGATGCATTTATGGGGTTCAGGGTACTGTTGTGATGTACAATATGAAATGTTTACATTGAACTAAGTAATCCTTTTTTTTTTTT